CGTAGCGTTGAATGGTCTTTGACCGAGTCGCTGAGTTGATGCGCCAATTGCGAGTGCACGGAAGCCGCTTTTTCGGTCGAACTCCTGAGGACAGCCCATAGCGGCGCTACGGAAGAACCGCTGCCCAGCAGTCGAGAGGACGCTAGCTTCGCCAAAAGCTTCGAGTAGTTCTCCTCGATCTGGCTGCGTTCTCGGACGAAGTCCACCAACTCTTTGGCCGTCGCCTGACTCTGTTTGCAGTTTCGGTAGAGAAGCTCGAATCCGGCATTTCTCTCGCCCCAGAAGAAATCCCGGAAGTCGACTGTCATTGTTGTCTCAGTTTACCGCCACTTCATTGGTGAATTCTCTGCAACAACATAGCACTCATCAGGCTTCGTTCTCTGTCAGGTCGTATAGTTTCTTTTTCGTGTCACAATCCGGTTTGATTCTCTTCCTAATCTATCCGTACGATAGGACCGCACAACTGAGTGAGAGCATAATAAACAAAGACCTAATACAACATGGAGATGGCTACCACAACTACTGAGGGGGCGGCGATACGTAACACATAAACAGTCCGACGAACTCGACGACAAACACCCATGATGGAGGGAGTTCCCCAAACCATCGGATCATGAGACCACTGTGGTCAACTTCCGACTGGCGAGAATTCCATGCGGGCGAAATCGACGGAACGGTCGAGATTCTCGGGGTTCTCGTGGACGGTAATTGAGCCCACAGCGACAGCAACGAACGCAACGACAAAAACGACACGAACGAAGCGAGAGATAATTTCGTCCAAGGTACCATTTGCTAATCGGCGGCGAGCGGAGAAGTTCAACATCAAGCCGAACACCACGGTGCACCCACCGTGGACGAAGAGCACAGTTTCGGATAACAATAACGAACTTCAACTCAAGGTAAACAGCCTGCGGAATCCGACGGACATCCTTCGGATCGTAATGAACGGGAGATTCTCACCTCGATCGTCTAGAGCTCGTAATGCCAGGGGTGTTCCTGTTTCCGAGGGCCGGAAATTTCTTCGGTGGCAGCAAAGCAGCTTGGAATAGGTCGACACCGACGATGGTAATGACGTTCAAACGCAGCGAGTGCTACCGCCTAAAAGGCAAGCGAACTACAATTGACACGGAAGATGATGGAGACACAAACACGCACATCTGATGATGGAGACTGGTACTGTTTCGCCGAACCACCGAGACAGCACTGCTGATCAACGACGTCGACAGACGGCCACCACCATCACCGACAATACAGAGCCGAGGTAAGCCAAGTCGTATTCGGTATAGGTGGTTGAAGGTAGCAGACGAATTCTACGGAAAGAGAACAGACCGAGCAAGGCTGCTCCTCTGGATATGCGAGGCGGAGCGCGCAAGTTTGAATACCGACGGCACTGAATGAGCTTGTGCCAGCTGACTGAGTATGAGAGAGCCAAAGGCTGAATTACTGGAAATACCCTTCATCTTGTTATGAATACAGCGTAAATCTTACGCGAAAAGGGTATCTAAGGATGTTCAATAAATCGTAGACGATCATAAAAACGGGGTTCATGAAAACTCTCCGGTTGGCGAGCGTCGAGAATCCCTTATCATGCCGAATTCCGGTCGAAGACCCGCCCCTGTTCGCTAGAATCACCCTCCTCGAGATTTCTTACTCATGATTACCTCTTTCGAGGAGCGAGGCTCGATCCGTTGAGTTCAACCTTGGGCTCACAATTGAAAGTCCAAAACCCGCATTTTCCGCCAGTACCGGCGCTTGTCGGTATTCGGTATCATTCGGTACTTGTGTACCGGTTATGAACCAGTGAGGCGCATCCCCACGCTGAATCCTCCGAGCCCAAGCCTTCCATGTCCTTGGAGCGCTCTCCCCGGAGCTCCACAATCAACGTAAGGACCTCCGAGCTGAAAGTCCCTACTTATTCGTTGGCTGAATGATGGAGGGCTCCGCTGTCTTCTTCGGACGAGTACAGGACGTTTGCCAAAAGAGGACAATATGGTGTGACCCGAACGGTCATTTCGAGGCTGGAAGCCGAAACGGCGTTGCAGATTTTTTTTCCACAAAGAAAGCACAACACGAGAAGGCGATCTCACAATCCGCTGCAAGAGCTGGCGAAAATCGTGAGTGCTTCCATCAGGATCTTCAATATGTTACTCGACTTTGCAGAGAAGGCATCTTGCGTCGAGTCCCGGCGGTCGCACCTGCATTTGATTCGTTTCATAGCTCGTGCTCGCTCTTCCGCCTCTCTCGATCATGACCATGAAGTGCGGAGTTGTCGCTCGTTGCGGAAGCCGTGTCACATTGCACCATGGATTCACATGCCGGAACCGTGATTCAATTCTTGTAAGCAAATATGTGCGTGACATTGGTGCGGCTCAGAAGCGATGCATAAATGAGCGAGCTCAAGCGAGCAAGGAAAGAGCTCGGATCCCCTCTTTTGCGGTCAGGTGTGGAAAGTGACTTGAGAGGAGGAAGACTCGAGTATTGAAGGTATCTTATAGGTAAAGCGAATCATTGTCAATGCCAATGGATCTTTTCCATAAATCTTCAGCGGCTTTCCAGTGCGGGGGAAAATCAGGCAGGATGGGCAGGTGATCAGGAATAATGGCCGCTCCCACAACCACTTGCCCGAATTTGGCGGACACGGTCATTCCGTTCTCTCCGCGAGGGCGAATTGGCTGAGGAACGTCAGGGAGAACTCTCGTTTGAGACCCATGAATGCCATACTGGCAGACCGTCACAGGTATGAATGAGCCCTAGGGATCGGGGGCAGGAATCCCGATAGCTTCCTCGTCCTTCAAAATGATAGCGGAGGATACTTACTGTCAGATTTCGTGATTCTAAGCTTTGTGCTCTTGTCAGTGCTGGCACTGATCTGGAGTAGAGGTTCAGACCGCACGAGAAGTAGTGATGAAATAGACACAGGGATTGAGGGTAGGATACCTGAGAGCGGACAGTGATTTATTCTGTGGTTTAGATGTTTTTATGTACCTATCGAATGAGAGAGGAACCTACGAGGGGTACATTGAGGAATGAACAGAAACCTGTCTATCTTATTGATTCTATCTAGGGGTTCTTATGGCTCTACAATGCGGGGTTCGAGTTCTGGACGGCCTGGAAGATGTGGACGGGGTGAATGTGAGCTGGGGTTCTGAATTATTTTCTGAAGGCTGAATGATTTCTTTGAGCGTTGATTGATCGAGTGATTTTTCTGATAAAAAATAATTATCTCGAATTTTCAGCACAATTTGTCTCATTTCAAACGCATACACCTGGTATACGTAATGTGGTTTTGGTGACCATGTTCTGTCGCCATAAGTCATCCAGTTTATTCCGTACCCTTGCTTTGTGCTCTTTGCGAAATACGTTCCACATTTTTTGTCCGCATGTACTATTCGGGAGCTCGAGTTGCTCCAGGCCGAACTGCATTCCCATTTTTTTGAGTCTCTTTTCTGCAGTTACCCTAGCTTTGGTCAACTCTATAGCAGTGAGGATACGTCTGGGCCAGCGTTTTTGGTCCATATGTTTCACTCTCTCGAAATACATAGTTTTGCTCGTGGCCTCTCTTGCCTCGAAGGAACTCCATCCGAGTTTGCCTGTTGTATCTCGAATGAAGGAACTCTACCGCCCCAGAGGTATATATTTTTCATTTTGAGGAAGGTAGGAGCGATCCATTTTCGGATGCCTTCTTCGAAAACCATCGATTCATGATCAGTTTCTCTAGCTCTAGCGGAGCTCACCACGGCGAGCGACGACAAGCAGAGTGTCGTCCTCGTGACGCGGTCGCCAGCCCGCGCACTCAACAAGATCCACGAAACACAATGTGCCCTGGAAAACTCGTACTCTCTACGCTCCGAATTTTTTCTTCGTGATCTCCTCCCGATGCGCATCGGAGTTCGCACCCATGGCCCGAATATCGGCGTTCTAGTCGCTCGTTCCGACGAGAGCCCCGGAACGGAAGTCGTATCGGCGGAGCGCTCTTGTCGTCGGCAGCTGAGTGCGTGTGTGGTAGCAGTGGAGAAGGGGAAGATTTTGACGGGAGCAGCAGTGAGCAGGAAAGAGCAGGCTGCTGTGTTTTTCCAGCGAAGGCAGACCGAGGCAAAAGTATCGCGGGACTTGCGTCGGTGGGGTTCATTCAACAATGACGGAACGGACGTAGTCCCAATCACCACAGCAGCCGTTCAACATGCCTCTGGGAAAAGGTTTTCGAGTGCTCCATAAGCACAACGAGAACAACTCCTACTCTGTCCTCATAGAACAGAGGGGAGTGAAGAGCACTGTGCTCCTCGAGAGTGGAGCTATCGTGGAACTCGGTGAGTTTTCCTCCTGACTTGCTTTCCTTCAGCTTCTCCTTGTCGGCAACGCGGAGTTTCGCAGCCTCCCGCGAGAGTTTTCGAACGGAGCTCGGATCGACACGGGTTCCCACCTGTTTCTGCGGAGGAACTCAGGATGACATTTCCCGAAGCTCGATCACAGCCGTCCGGGAAAAATCGGTTGGCCCGTGGAAAATGGCAGTGGTGGAGCGTGGGTGTCGACAAGGAAATTCCATCGATATTCGAACGTACATCACCTGGTTGAGCTTATTCAGCGCAGGCGCGAAACGTTGTCCTCGAAGTGAAGGTCTCTGTCAAGTCTCACCGAATCACGGAGAGCGCTCGTTCCGAATCGCTTGCTTTGGAAACTCGAGAGATCTGAGTGTCTCGCCTATGATCGGTCTGCTTCTCTTGCTCTCTGACGTGCGTTTCGACGGAAGGCAGTATTCTGTTCACAAGAGTACCAAATCGTGTGTTGGGCGTAGTGCTGGATGGCTTCGGGAACGTCGTAGCGGAGGATTAAGCACAGACTGCCCCACTGAGAAACCGTCTTCGGTCTCTACTCGATTCCTGTTTGCTCGAGCTGAGCCATGAGAATACATCCAGCGTTCCTTCCTCGAGATGTTCTCCCGCAATATCGCATATTCGCAAGGGAAACCTTGAGCTCAGCGAAGCTCGAAAACGTCGAAGCGTACCGTCAGTCGCGAGTTCCTCTGAGCGGAGTTGAGGGGGGAGGAAGGGTTGTCGAGAGCTATTGGTTTGACTGAGCGCATTCTGTCGCAAACCCTTATGAATGAGTACTGAAGTAGAAGCTTTCTATTTTTAGGTCCCGAAGAGACGTCATGTCTAAAGAAAGATTATACAGCTCTTCTCGACGCGCATGGTTGTCTCGGCGTCCTCGACACAAATCAAGGCGACATCGAAGTCAAGTACCTGGTCATGGTCACAGGATGCCACTCGGTCGGGAAAATCAACCAGTGCGAGATTTTCCGACTCACAGACGTGACTTTCGTCTCGCTGAGAGACTTCCGCGATGACGTAGAACGCATGATGGACGTGCGAAAAGTTCTGACGTCGGGAACTTTCTTCTTCTCGTGGAGTTCGCAGAGCGCTCCTCTCGATCTCACTCTATGCGCCCAAAGAAACACTAGAACCAACGAAACAGATAATAGGTTGGTCCCCGAGCGATATGGCCCATGTTCCCCCGGAGAACTCGTCTCTCGCCTTGAGCGCTTATCGGGAATCCGGTCCGGGATATATTTCTTTCGATCAGACACAAGGATCCTGAATTTTCCGCAATTTCAGGTTCTTCTGGAATCGCATGCTACACATTCCCTTCATAAACTTCGGCGTGGACACCTCGCAATGGCTGCTGAAAATCATGAATGGCGGCATAGAAATCCGAACTGTTTACGTTGGCCACCTGCAGGCACGAGCGTGCATCCTTTCGCGCTTATCCTGTGAAAGAGCCGGGACCCGGTTCAACGTGCGCGGCGTGAACGACGACGGGCACGTCGCCAATTTCGTTGAAACGGAGCAAATAATCTTCCTCGACAATAAAGTCTCGTCGTACGTTCAAATCCGCGGCAGCGTCCCTCTGTTCTGGGAACAGCCGGGAGTCCAGGTCGGCTCCCACAAAGTGAAACTGTCGCGCGGCTCCGAAATGTCAGCGCCCGCTTACAAGAAACATTTGGAGACGATCGTCCAACGCTACGGTCATCAGACGTTCCTGAATCTGTTGGGCTCTAAAGAGGGCGAGACGATGCTCTCGCACGAGTTCAACAAGCACCATCGAGCAATCGCCAAAAAAGACATTCCCCTGATCAATTTCGATTATCACGCGCAGTGCCGAGGTGGAAAACAGGAAAACCTCATCCATTTGAAGTACAACATCGAGAAGCAACTCATGGACTACGGGTTCTTCTATAGAGACGGCGATAACACGTCCAAGTAAGTGCAGAAGCGCCGAGATTTCTTCAATGCAAGCTGTTGTCTTGAGGATTTTCTTCTGGAGGTCCAATCTTCCGAGAAGCTTCGCGATCAAGTAGATTATTCAATTCAGGGAACAGACCGGGTGTTTCCGGACGAACTGTCTCGACTGCCTGGACCGGACAAACTGCGTTCAGACATTCATTGGTCTCACGGTTCTTAAACAGCAACTGGCCGAAATGGGATTCGATGAGAAAATGGCATCGAGGTTTTACGAAGCGTTCAAAACGATGTGGACCCTGAACGGCGATATGGTGAGGCTGGAGAAGATTTTCTTATCTGAAGAGGTTCTGCTACAGAGGGAAAAACATTATCGTCTTCCTCCCATCTATCGTGTCGTAATCATAGTGAGCGTGTGCCGAAATTCTCCTTCATGACGCCACGAAACCATGTATATTACTCCTGCAGGTTAGCCGTATCTATGCTGGAACTGGGGCTCTCCAAGGAACGAATAAACTCAAAGATGGAACTCGTTCGGTGGTTCGTACTGTGCAGAACAACCTTCTGGACTCTAGCAAACAAGAAGCAATCGATATCCTACTGGTTGGGAGCTCATTAAGCTGCGAGCTCGGCGATCGAGCGAGGTCTCTCCTACCCCAAGAGCTCTTGCATACGCCGGCGTCCATGCTGAAGACAATCTGTTTCGGACGCTACCTAGACTTCACGATCCCACACAAAATCACGGTTTCCGTCGCTACCTGGAACGTGAACGGCGGCAAGCATTTCAACTCGATCGTCTTCCGAGATCAGCCTATGAGCGATTGGCTTCTCGATAATAACCCAAAAGGTGAGTCCGATCGTTCCTAATCGAAGGCACGAAATCCAGGAAATCTTCCTCGACTGAAGGGAGTCCACAGGATTCTCCTTGGGGGCACGGGGGGAAGGGGCTAGATCGGGTCCTCGCATGGGGCTGATTTCCAACATGGCGACCCGCTCCTCCACCGTAGTATTACGAACTCTCATTCTGGGAGGGGGCTATAGCCCCCTAGCCCCCTCCTCTGCGGACGGAGCTGTCCTCGGGAGCGGTATCCGCAGATATGGGTCGGAAGCCATAAGATGCTTGAGCCCCACGTAGTTCGTCTAAGGAAACAAGCGAGACGCATGACTGTACCGATGTCGGTGTCGATCGTTCGAACGACTGAATAGCTGTACTGTCCTGACACGATTTTCCCTTCCAAGATGACCCTGCCCGGAATGAAAATGATCCCCCAGGTAACCGAAACAGTTTGACGCTTCGTAGATGCTCGAGTGGGAGAGTTCCCCGCGCGCTCGCTTCTGAACGCTATGGACGCTTTCCTTCGCCGAGGAATATTCCCAAGATTCCAAGTCTCTCGATCCGCCTCCCGTTCTCTGCCCGCTCTCTGCCCTCCTTTCAATGTTGCTTCTTACGTTCTCCGAGATCGCCCGAGCCACGATTCTCCTCTGGAGTCTCCGTTCTGAATTATTATTGTCGCTTCCGCACCGCAAGGGCACCGAGCTGCCCCAAGGAGTGCACTCTCTGCTCATGAGCATCTTTCACTCATTTGTTCCGTTCCTCAGGATGTGGATCACGTTTATCCTCCTCTGGATCTGTCATCTCGGTTGAATGTGGAATTACACGATCATGTTCGTTCATGTCTCGATTGGCGTTTTTCAGGAAGCGAAGAAGATGGCGGCAAGACTCCTCCGGACATATTTGCCATCGGCTTCGAAGAGATCGTCGATCTGAACGCGTCCAATATCGTCAATGCATCGACAAGCAACCAGATGGAATGGATGCATGAGTTGCAGAAGACGGTGAGCCGAGACACGAAATACGTGTGCCTGAGCTCGGCACAGCTCGTCGGCGTCTGTTTGTTCGTGTTCGTAAAACCGGAGCATGCGGCCTTCATCCGGGATGTCGCCATCGATTCCGTGAAAACCGGCCTCGGAGGCGCCACGGGAAATAAGGGAGCCGTAGGAATACGTTTGCTATTCCACTCGACGTCAATGTGCTTCGTATGCGCACATTTCGCTGCAGGTCAATCCAAAACTCTCGACCGCAACGCCGACTACACCGAAATTACTCGGAAGCTCCTTTTCCCTATGGGAAGGACCGTCGCATCGCACGACTACGTATTTTGGTGCGGCGACTTCAACTACCGCATCGACTTGGACATCGATCGAGTCAAAGAGCTCGTCGCTCAGAAAAACTACGAGGAGCTCATGCAGAACGATCAGCTGCTGAAAGCTCGAGATCAAGGTCAAGCCTTCGTTGACTTCATCGAAGCCGACGTAACTTTTGCCCCGACGTACAAATACGACCTGTTCTCGAACGATTACGACACGAGCGAGAAGAGCCGCATTCCGGCGTACACTGATAGAGTGCTTTTCCGCCGGAAGAAATATCCAAATGATTCCGGTACGTTGCCAAACAGCGAATCGGGACTCATTCTCCCGCCGCATATTCCTTCGCTGTGATGATTTTTTGTTTATCTCAATCATACCACCGCGGATCGTAATTCGTACTGATCTTCTAGAGTATCCCTTCTGGAGTCCCGGCCACATCCGTCACTATGGCCGCGCGGAATTGAGGACTTCCGATCATCGGCCCGTGGTGGCCGAGATCGATGTCGAGGTGCTACGCGTAGATCCCACGCTCCGGGATAAAACTGTTGAAGAAGTATCGAAGCTCGCTGGCCCACCAGATGCAACCGTTCTGGTGAAGAAGAGCGCATCTAGTCAAGACAAGGAGACTTTCAGCGAAATCTTCATCGAAAAAATGTGTGATCTCTTCTCAGAACTGGGCGAGGTTGTCCTCATAAGGTAATTTTTTTCGCGGCCGCCCTGGATCTCTTCTGAGAATACTTCTTGCACAAACTTTCGATTGAGCTTTTGGCATAGCTTCAATCGGGTCCCGATATGCCTAATGTTTTCCCCTCGAATTCTAGGTTTGTTGGTGAAACCCTTCGGATAACTTTTGCTGATGGGCAGAGCGCCCTCGACGCCTTACAATTCAATAACCGAGAGATCGACGGCGAAACGGTGGAGATCTGCCTCAAGACTCTTGACTGGCATTCAACCATTGAAGATGCCTTGAATCTATGTAAAAACAACACCATTCCTCTCAACAAAGAACCGGTCGTTATGAAATTCGAGGAAGTCGTCGAAGAGGCGAAGTCTGCTCATGCCAGCAGAGCCACTCGCCCCCTGTCTGGTGCGGCTCCTCCAGCCGCGAAAGACAAACCCAGAGGAACTCCCCCTCCCGCACGACCTCCACGTCCGAACAGACCAGCTGCGGCGGCCGAAGCGCCGCCGGCGGCCGCGGAGATAACAGGCCCGCCAGAACGCCCCGAGAGGCCTTCGGGCCCTCCCGAAAGACCGGCGGCCCCACCCGAAAGACCTGAGAGACCTGCAGCCCCACCGAGTCGTCCTGCTCCCCCAGGGAGACCTGAGCGGCCGGAGAGACCAGCAGCCCCGAAAATACCCGAAAGACCCCCGAGGGATTTGCCTCCTGCACCGAAAACTAATATGACACCAACCCCGCCGACACCATGCGGTGAGTAGCGAGTAAAATCCTCGGTACTTGCTCCACAATTTCTATAAATTTTCAAAGCGCAATATCCGAGAGATTGAGCCTCACCACTGTGCGATGGATCAATCCGACCCAGGTCCAGAGGATTAAAATGGTTCCTTATCTTCTAGCGCCTGAAATCGATCGCGAGCAGATTAGGGCTGTCACGGGGAGTTTCCAACCAAATGTAGGAGCCACCTTCGGTTCGATCTTCTCGGGCATTTCCTCTGGGGAAGCATCTCCCGCCACTCCAATCGACGACAGAAAACCCGCGATCCCGGCATCGAACCCACCCGAGGCCCCTCCGCCGGGTCCACCGCCGTCAAATCCGCCGCCTGGCCCACCACCGGGTCCTCCACCCATCCCACCTCCGACGGGTGACGGGGCTCCCGCGATTCCGAACAGAACTAAGAATTCGCCACCGTCGGGCGGAGCTCCCGCAGCTGCTCCACCGCCGATCCCGGCGAGGCCGCGACCTTGATAATCCGAGCTTCCGAGGAGTCCGGCTCGAGGAATGATACGAGTCTGAATCCGAAGTTAAAGCCTCCCCTTCTTAAACCGGTGTAGATTAGCTCTGGTTGGTCAATTATTCGTCGACCTGATCCTATCAACGTCTTACACAACCAGTTGAAGTCAAGCTACACCTCCAACGTATCAAATTATCACCGGTACCCTTCTGGAGCACCGACTTAACTTTTATCCCATGGAGGAGCTCACGGCGAGTTTCGGCAACGGCGAGCCGATGGATTCTCGCAGAGATCCTGACACTAGTCGCAAATTCTTATTGAGTCCAGCACACCCTCCTGAGTTTTTTACTTTCCGCGGATGTCTCCGCTTGCGCAAGATTCATTATGCGGTGAACGAGTGATCAATTCGTGGTCTATGTCTGAAAAAAGCATGGCAACGAAGTATACGAAAAGCCGGAGAAAACTTCCAAGCATTCCTCATAGGATTCCGTTGCAACCGAATCTCTCCTGAAGCAGTATCAAAGCACAACGTGTTTCGGACTCTGCGTTGCGTTCCGTTCGGTCGTCAGCAACCCTTGGTGCCGGTTGCAGTCCGTCGGCAGTCGTCGCGCGATCTGCAGACCCTGGACAGCCCCGACCAGCTTGCCTTTCCGTTAGACGATCAGTGAGTGACTTGCTCTATCGTTCGTGAGCGCCCCTAGGGGACGCAGTGACGGACACATGCCTTCGTCAGGAACTCTGACGCTTTTCCCTTTGTATATCTGCCCCTGTTTTTCTTTTTTTGTTTCGTCTCTGGGTCTCCGCTGCGATTCAAGTTCCGAAGGGTGTACTCGGCAACCAGGCGGATCGAGTTTCCCACCTGTCAAGCTCTCTTAAAAAAAAGCCACCCTTCACTCTTGACTCCTACTGCCATGTCGAGATAAGATGAGTGCCCTTGATCGCCAGAGTAAGAGACCAGAGTCACGGAACTTTGTTAGGTTGTTAATTCTTGTTGATATTTATCATGATGGATGACGATGAGGGGCGTCCAGGATGACACATCATAAATGCCCCGCCCCAACCCCCTCCCCCCCGACACGGCTCTCGAAGATCCTGGCGGGGAGTATCAGTGACTTGAGCCGAATCGGATATCGAGACCATCGTCCTTTTCAAGTCTCTCGGGGGAATCTGCGAACCCATGGCATATGCAGATCACTCTTTTTATCCGATTCGGGCCGACAAAGCTTTTCGTATGTTTGATTTTGTTGAGTCGAATGAAAGATTGTTATCTGTGGGAAGCTGACTTTGGATAAGCGTCTAACAGTTTCCAGTTGATCATATGACTTTAGGGGTTTCACGACTTGGAGCGTTATCTGATCATCATCATTCTATTAGTATACGGATGAAATCAAGAGTATTTAGCTAGCACGGGACGTAGATATTAGTTGTGATATCAATTCCCCATCGGTGATGAGCTCCGACTGAGATCGCGCCCGGCGAACGACCGTACGATCTATCGGGTTGAATTAGAAATTATATATCAAACCCTGGAATGGAATGTCGGATGGATTTCTGTTGGATACTTAAGCTGTGAACTCGGAGAGGAGCGAGCGTATGAAAGAAAAAGAATCGGAACGACATCTCCGGATCGGCCCCGAGAGTCTCAGAGCTCTAGTAGGAGAGCCGAAAGTAATATATAAACTCGATCTTGTTGAAACTATTACTATTAGTGAATCGCAGTATCGGAAAGGACAGGTCGGAAACCTGAAATAAAATAAGCCGTCTCTCCTTATGGAACAGCAGTCGCGAGAGAAAGATGTATTATCAATCTTCAATCATGGAGGTAGGACGGGGGGTCGTTACAGCGGCGCTCCCTAGCACCTCTTTGAACCCTCAAAGAGAGCGTCCCCCCTTAATGACAGCAGACGGAGAGGCTACGTGCTACTCTCCACTTCAAGAGAGGAGATCGTTTGCAAGGATTAGCTCTCCGAAATCTTCGTGGGACCTTCATCCTCTTGTTGCACGGGCCCTGGATTTTGGGGAATACTCTTCGATTTGAAACCGTCGACCCTTCTATAAGGGGAATTATCGGAAGGACTGGGCTTGAAACGATGAATACCGGCGGGGTCAACACAATGAGAACTCATTTAACTACAGATAACCAATCCGTTTCTTCAAAATTCACCAATCCGTCATTTTTACTCCCAGTACACTCATTTGATATTCTCCTTCGTCTACTTGTTGCTCGCTTTGATGACTCTCGCTTTTTCTACACATTCCGACTCAGGCACACTCGTCGAAGGTGTGAGGTTTTGCGCCTCAGAGCGTCGAGATGTTCTGGATCATTCTTGTCGTTTCATTCCAAATCGACGTCGATAAGACCGATGCGATGGGGTTCCCCGAGCCTCCCTTTTCTGAATACGTCGTCGACTTGGAATCTTTGCCGGTGTTTTGGGGCTTCTCACAAACTTTGATAGAATCGGGCCCCGCACAATCGATTTTCGACGTCAGAGAAAAGAGGAGGGAGACATTTCAATCGAACTGAATGCAATTAGGTACAAGCAATGTTCTCATTTGGTGGGTTAACAGGTGCAAGTGGCAGAATGTCGTACCATAGAGATGTTCTCGAGTGGCTGATTAGTTTAAATGAAGTCTCTCTCGATGGAATGCTGATGGCAGTTTCACTTGGGCGATTTGTGGCTGTCATTTTCTTTGTTTGTTGTTGTTGTTTCCTTCGTTCGCTAATTGATTCAGATGATAATCTGCTCAAAAGCTCTCAGATTTGACCAGCGCAGCTAACGTTGGCGAGTTCGGATGAGGGTTCTGTTGGGAGGAGTTACCTTCGTGGGGGCAAGGCAGCGGCAGGGGTTTAGCTACTCCTATCCGGACGGGTCCCTTAGCGGCGCCTTTCAGTGCTTGTACCGCCGTGTCTAACGAGGCGTTCTCAAGTAAAACGTCATTGACGAACAGTAACCGGTCGCCTGGGATGAGTCGACCATCTTGTTGGGCCACCCCACCGGGCACCAGACTGCGAATGACGATCACGGTCTCGTTGGGATTCATGGGATCCTGGTAGTCTAGGATGCTAAAGCCCAGTCCCCGCTCAGCCTTGATGAGCTCGATGATCTGAGGCTCATTGCTCCACATCGCCAGTCCGCTCAAAGGCTCCAAGGAACGAGATCTCAACTTGAGTTTTGCTAATCCGGCCGCTACGCCATCAGCCCGACCGCTGCTTGCCCCACCTATCGCACCAGCTTCTTCGTCCTCCGAACTGTACCTGGAAAAAAATTAGACAAAGTCAGGGAAGGTCCAGCGTGGCCATCGAGGCGAAAAACGCCGCAAAGTACTCGACGCTCCGGAATTCCCGAGTCTCATTCCGAGCTCTGGCCCCTCGTCCCGCATGTTTCTTCCACGTATTGCCGCGGGAGACCGAGGTCGTGTGGAAGAGGCGAACAGCGTCGGTTCCTCATGTCTTCCTTGTTCAGAATCGAATGAGAATTTCCCCACGATTGGCCGCAGGGAATGCGCGGTCAGCGTCTGCTCCGCCGAAAAAGGAGAAGTGCACGAAACGAGCCTCAGACCTAGTTCAGTGGACGAAAGACCGAGTGTGTGGACGCTCGGAGGATTGTGTAGCACGACTCCTTCTTCGGGCGATATTGTACGGGATGGGGCAACTGGGCTCTCAGCTAGTGCGTCATGAATTGCTCGCAATGTTGGCTCGCTTGTTCGAAAGAGAATGTGGGTGCGCAATCCAAATCGATGCGGTGGGATTCAGTGTACGGATTCGGGGAATGCGCCTTGCTAGTCCCGACAGGCAGCCGTTCCAGCAAACGGGAACGGATTTCTCGACGCGGGATGCGGTCGGGTCTGCAAGAAGCTCCGCAAACTCTCAGAAGTCTGCTTGGACTGCATTTCGCCGAGCTCGTTATCGATTGAGGTTCATTCATGATCAGCAGGTCATGAGTTATGACTTGAGTCGAGCATTATTCGTTGACAAGAGTCACTCAAGATGGCCATCGGTGACCGCCGTTGGTGAGGGAGCTCTGGCTGAACTCGATTCCTCTCCCCAGAACTAACCCTCGGTAGTCTACATCCTCTGAGACTTTATCCATCGCTCTGACGGCCAGAATCACGAATCCTTAATCACGGATTCTGGATAGCTAGTGCTGACTAGAAATGCAGAGACCGAGGGAAACTGTTCCCCGAGATTAACTCACCTGTTTAGGGATGTATCGGATTTCGCTTTCGAAGAGTGAGCGTGGGAGCTCATACTGATAGCGGTGAGGCTGCTTTTGGCGCGAGCACAAACCATCTCCACGTTCAAGGGCAGATCTTTAAGAGTGTTCACCACATCCCGATGATCGAGACCTAACAATTGACGGCCGTTGACTTCAACGAGCTCATCTCCGCTCCGCAAAACTCCGTTGAGTCCTACCGGACCGTCTGGTAGGATTGACCGGATGTAGTGGTGAGGTCGGACCTCTTCGCCCTGTTCGTTCACGTCGACCTGCGGAAAATGAAAAGGAGAGCTAAGGATGGGAGCTCCCGAGAGCATCGCTTCGATTTTCGGACTCGGAAAGGAATAATTGCCCACGCACCGTGGGTCACAAGAGCCGAGCTCGTAGAGGGCGACGGATTTTTTCACTCATTCTTCACTTGTCAGCAAATGCCCGCTCCGGACGGAAGCCGGGAAAAGACTCTCGTCTAACGGGCGCTGGAGCTGTTGCGTTCTCCCAACTGCCGGCCCTCTCCATCGTCCCTTTCCATGGAGATTCCGTAGGCCCTCCGATTCAGAAGATTGTGAGATCCTTTCATGTATGATCCCTCAATCGAACATAACCTCTCCATAAATTAGCTGGCTTCTCCGTCGAGTCGACTCGCTTGGTCCCATCAGACGAAAAGGCCGCGTTCGATTCCCCTCCCAGGATCCGGCATCGTTCACTCGCAGAGTCGTTGGTATTCGAGAATTCAGGAATCGTATTCGACCCAGATGGGAGCACTCCCATGCAAATTTGCGAGCGAGACGCAGCGAACGGAATCGAGGTAAAAATAGAAAATGAAGACCCCGCGACGCAAGATGATGATGATGATATGATAAGACGCTCATCGATCCGAGCGGATCGATAGAGGGTGCAATGAATTGGTGAATTCTAGGGCCCCTCACGAAACGAAAGGTAATCAGCGATTGTCACGGCATGACACAACTCAGCCTCAACCACAGAAAAGCCGTCACGACTGGCAAAGCGTAGCCAATGATTGCCATGACATAGCCCATGACAAAACACAACTCGTTCTCTCGATGTTGCCTCTTATTTTCTTGATCGACAGCCGTCGTTTCCTCTCCGTTGTTTCGGCATCGGAATTGAGTTGGCCGCCGAACCGCTGCTGTTCGCTTCCGAGGAACGTTTCCGTACTCATCACGCAACTGTTCGAACACCATTCAGAAGAATCTACCCGCGGAGGAGCCTAGGGAAACGTATGTGGTTCCACCGTTCAACGAACGACGCGCAGTGTCGTTCTTCTTCACCGCCTGCACTCACCGTTCCTTCGAGGGATATTCCAAGACCTCCTCCTTCGTGGAATTTGCAGAGTTGAGCGACTGCGATTATGTAGTCGTCGCCAAACACGTTCTGCCACTTTTGGATTTTTTCTTGTTCGGTCTCGGCTACTCCGTGGATTAGATTGTCTAGATTAGCAATCGCTGCAGTGGATTGAATGTTGAGGTTCGTTGTAGCATTTGTTGCGGTTCCCGTCGACGGAACGAAGTCGAGAGGAGATGCAACACCGGCACCGACTCCTGACTCCGCTTGAATTGCTTGCTGTAGCTGGTCATACCTGGCCCCTCGCAGATACCGCGCCAGCCGAAGCTTCACCACCTGCGAGAGGAAAAAAATCTTCAAACCCTGAACCCTGGAAGAGGTTCCTCAAACGCCGGATAGCGGCTCCGCATGCGGCGGAGATCTCACTGTCGTTCGACTCGACCGGTCAGCGCGGGAATGATGAACTTGCGGTGAAGTAACGACCGCACGCAGGAGCGCAGCTAAGGCTCTTTGGCCGGAGTTAACGCAGATGAGGGCTTATCCATCAAGGACGATTGACGTTAAACGTCCTCATCGGTCATTACTTGCCCGAGTAGGGAGAAGCCCTCCCGCGCGGTTCCAAGAAGCCAAAGTCCCTCGTCCACATGGGAGACATCGTCACTGATTCGTTTGTTTGCTGAGAGGCCTACCTTTCCTGTGCTTCGTAGGAGCTCGACGGCTTGGTGATTCGAGTATCCTTGGAGGGGTCTTCCATCGACTTCGATAACTTGGTCATTGACTCTGATCTTTCGACTCAAATCTGCGGCACTTCCTTTCGCTATGCTCTTGACAAAAACTCCGGAAATTTCCTCTGGAAAAGTCAAAGAGAAACGCTTACTTATCCATACGGAGGCACATCCGCATGCTGTTCGCATTATTCACCGATGGGGGAACTCGGGAATTATGTACGAAGACATCGATGTCTGGACACGCAAAACATATGAGTGGGACGACGCAGCAGGGACGTCGACAACCGTCGTCGATGCAACGAGTTCCGTCGTGGGTTATCCGTCTAGATTATTTCCGAGGACGTTGCCTTTATTTGGGGCGAAGCCTGTGAGCGGAGGAACTTGGCTCGGAGAAAGCAATGAAGATAACCCGATTAGATGCCACTTTGTTGTTCCTGCGGCACTCAACAGAACAACAGGGCCATCCACCTCCACGTTCCTTCTCCGGCCGCCATGCGCCATCGAGACAGGCCGAGAGCGTTCCACCCTGTGTGACTATTCAGTCTCCACTCGGATGTCTCAGCCGATTCCTCACTCATTCCTCGCTCGCGTTCCTGCTCTAGAACGTTCCACGGCCTCACGCGAGTTTTTTCCTCTGACAAGCATCAGGGACAAAGGATAGGAGCAGTTCGGATGAGAGAAGCCTTGTGCCTCCCAAACTTTACATTCCATCCTGCGACACTCATACTTCGCTCTCTACGGAAGTTTCCTTCCTTCTTCCATAAAGGGCTCGAAAGAACATCTTATCCGTCCGGGGGGCCAAGCCCCCGCGGGACCCTTACACGGGTAAAAGAGCCCCCAATAGAGAACAGAATTCGAGAAATCACTTCCGGAAGGCGAAGGAGCCACCCACTGTCGATTGCGACCAGGAGCTGACGATTCGGCGTTCTAATGAGTGGGAAACTCGAATAGCGTCGCAGAACATCCTTCTCGACTTTCTTGGGAAATATATCCGACTCACTGAGATTGACAACCTCAGAGAAATCAATACGTTCCCGCGGATTTTGTCTGAATCTTCTGCCGAGAACTGCGAGATCATTCAAGATTCGCCGTCGCCGAGGACTCAAAACTCCGGGGAAAGAGTTCGGGAACTACATGGGAGTTTGGGCTCCTGCCGTGATAGGGATCAACAGGTTCATCACATCCGACGCAATGAGGAGAAAAGCGAGCGCAGACTTACCATCTTTACCCTTCTCGCAGACGTAACCAGCGATCGTGATGCCAAGACCCTGCTGATCTTTGACCAACTCGACCTCAAAGGTCTCCATTTCGGGGAGCTGGTCGAGTCCCATCAAGCTGAGGAGTTCTTTCTGCATCTCGTGAGATACATCCTCCTGGTTGAGCTTGCCGCTCTGAGACGTGGAATTCTGCGCCGGCGAGTGCCCGAGGGAGAGGGCAGCTCCTGAGCTCGCGCTCAAACTCAAGGTAGTACTTGCTAGCGCCGCCGCTGAGTTCGTCGAATGCTCTATCGCGGTCACGTTTTCGGTTCCGGTTATTGTGGACGTGGGCACGCTGTTGTCTTCTGGACCATTGTTTTTGTTCGAAAACATACTGAGGCGACGTTCGACCTGTAATCAAAAAACTTACGATAAGGAAAGGAACCTGTTCCCCGGAGGGCGGAGCGATCGTTCCGTACCCGAAATTGAGAGCGATCTCCGGAAACTTAAGGAGAGTAGCACTTTTTCGTTCCTGGAGCCTTCAGCATAGCATACGAATTTAACGAAGCTCCTCTACGTCCTCGTTCAAGGTCCAGGTGACCATTATGATTAGATCTTGGTCCATCAGATCCTCCGAGAGAACAAAAGACGGAACCCGCTCGGCTGCCTGAGCTTCCCCGATAACTCGCTCGCGAAAATGATGTGGCGCTTCTTCGATATTCAATCGGGAGCAAGGAGGGTACGCAGACAGCTCCGATCTTCCCACTGAACATTCGAACGAGGAATTCCGACGCACCTGGAGAGTTCTCACTCAAAAGCATATCGTCTGGATTCTCCTTCAATTCAAGAATTGAACGCTCTCTACGAAAGCCCTTCACGGCAAATGGCACGTCCGCGTCGTTGCATGCATGCATCTATGCATAAATGCGTAGTATTCTCCAAGGAAGGGGAGCGGACGTCGAAAAGAGCTGAGTGGTTTCTCAAACTACGCTCGAGCCGAGTACACTCGGTACATACACCAACTTCCCGTCGACGGACTTTTATTTTTACCTGCCGCCGCCGACACCGGTGTCGTTCGGCACTTCGAACGTACGTCGCGGAGGAATGGCGATAGGGCGCTAGCATTGGCCGCTTCCTAACAGATTCCCTGCCTTCTCCTGCCGCGTAGGAAAAACATATTCGCCCCGTAGGAATTACACTGGCAACACTCTGACGAGTCGTACTCGCGCCGTCACCGATCTCGACGCCGCCGCTGCTCGTGAGAGCCAAAGCTCCTGACTTCCCCGACCTGTCGAGACTTCACTCGGCGAGCCTGCTTGAGTCCATGAAGAGGATTCCAAGCGGGACTCTTCAGGTGGAATGGCAACGAGAGACGACGAGTGGGGGTGGGGGAGAGGGAGTGACCTCATTGCTGAGCCAGCCATACACGACGTGTCAAATATGTAGCTCATGTCAGAACCGGCGGAATCGTATTCGGAGTGACCTCAGCTTTCGAGTTCCCGCGGAAGAGTCAGGGAACTCGTGCTCTGAATAGCGAAAGGGTACGGCATGTTATTGAGAAGAATGTTCATTTCAATCAGATCATGGGATGGTGGAACGCTTCGCGAGGCGACGGAATGGATTTAAAATGATATGGAGAGAATTTAACTGACGAATGACGTGAAAAATTTCATGTTGATCCATCCATTATCGACAGATTCATCTTCGAAATATCCTTCACGTGTGAAATCCGCTGTGACACGCGGGGTTCTCATCTCGACTCTTTTTGAGGGTCGGTCGAAAAAGATGCGGAAAACTCGAGTCTGTGAGTTTGTTATAAGTTCTCACCTCATCGGCATCGGCCAATATTCTCGTTGGGACCACAGGGGCCGCGAGGTCTTCGACTCCAGCGGCGACCGAGGCGTCAACTGGTCGAGCGACCACGAGCCGCACGTTCGTTCCAGCCTGACGGAGAACAGCTGCCACTTGTTCCGAGCCCATTCCCCTGAGGTTGACATCGCCGATTTGAAGGATGTGGTCCCCACTCAGTAGGCGTCCGTCCTGAAAATCATACGGGATGCTTTACGGCTCGTCTAGACATTGCCTCCGATTCACTCCCTTCCTTGTGGGTGCCATTCCCTCGCGCGTCCGAACTCCGATTCGGGAAGAGCCGGAGCGACATCAGAATTTATTCGAAGCTGCAAGCTCTCGACTTTACTTCCCGCAGATGGGAATTGGGCAACGAGGAAAGTTGTAATCAACTTCTGTGAATCCTCGATGGAATCAGTCGGTTTCCACGCTATTCCTTTCTCGGGAAATGTGTCATAACATGCTCCTCACCCTATCAGCGACCCCTCCGGGTAGGATGGTTTTCACGACGACTCCAGTGCTTCGGCCTCCAATGATTCCGAAACCGAGGCCAGTGCCGTCGTTCACCAGCTCGATGGCTTCCACCTGCGCCCATTCGGTGTTCAGCTGCGGAGAGAAAGTCTTGATTGAAGGGAAGATCGGAAAGCTCATCTGGATGTTCCGTTATTTGCCTGCATGAGCCGAGAGTCATTCGCTGTATGCTCATGATTCTCGCGGCAGAGTATTGACCCAGAGCTCTGCCTATGCTCACGTCCCTCTTATTCCGTCTGGAGATTCTCTTACTTAGACTCCACAGAATACGGAGAATAACTTTTCTTTGAAAGGCTGTACCTCCAATTGACTATCGCCCACGCCGCAGCGCTTTTTCCCGGCAATGATACGGGCTGCGTCATACCGAATCCGTACAATATGTGCCGGTATCTCCTCCCCTAGGCCTCAGAACAACCTTTCCACGGAATTTTCGTCTTCACTAAACGGGCCCGTTCAATGCGTGTGCGCCGAAACAGGGAAAAGCGTGAACACATATCGGGCACGCCTTCATTTCTCTCGTGGTCTCGCGCTCAGGGGGGGGTTTCGTGAAGCGCGAAAAAAAACCTCGCAAGGAGCATATCAGTCGACGCTTCCGTTTCATTGGAATTCCCTCGCCCCATCGCGCGGTGCGGAAAGCGAGCTCACAGGTTTCGTCGGCCTCGCGCTCGAAGAAATTACTACTTGGCCGCTTCGGCAACTGGGCCCTCCAGTCGGTTGCTAAATCACGATATGGACGGTTCGAAAATCAATGGGAGCACCAGGGAACGAACAGCACCGGTACCGAGTGCAAGGATGGCGCACTCCGCACAGAGCGCGCGCGAACGCTCATTGAGGCTCCACGCGCCGACGACGCGGCGGCAGATCGACGGTAAACGGTACGTATTTGAATCAGGTGACTTACCACCATTTCTGGAACGAACTCGCCCGCGTTCTGGGGTTGCGGGTGTGAGTAGTGGCCCTCGCTAGTCCAGACGAGGTTGTCAGCCGTCTGGTAAACACCGCCCCCACCGAGAAGCAGGTTCCGTTGACGATCTACGAGCAGACTCACGAGTCCAGAGGCTTCCTGGAGCAAAAGTACAACATCCCGATAGCTCACTCCGCTGAGACGGTTACCGTTGATCGCCACGACCTTGTCGCCTTCGCTCAGTCGCCCATCCCTGGAAATAAATTCGGAACGTTGACTCGTTGTATCAAATCCCCAATCGCGTAAATCGCCCATTCGTCAAGAGCCCAAGCCCCTCGAGCCGCTACAACGACACAATGCTCCGTAGGTGAGTAGGCGAGCCATGTGTCTGCTGTCGGGATGTCAGAGTCGAACACCAACCACAACTTGTAGCCGGTAATTTACCTGCACATGACAATCGAATCATAAACAGCTTCTTCGATGATAGAACAGACAACGTCGTAACCCCCCTCACTTAACCCTGCAGCATAAACAATAACACCAGCAGTTATGTTTCCCGAGCGTTGACTGAGGAGTGGCAACTTGCAGAGCTGCTGTGCACGAGGTCCGTAGAAAATTCGGGCTCAGCCAAAATCGTGGCCCACACTTCTCAACAGGCAGGAATCCAAAATTCGTAACAACGAACGACGCACGACGAATGGCCCACTGATGGGCAACTTCTTCAACCAACAAACAGCATAGTCATATTCGCTATGGCTAACTTGGTCCCTCTTGTAGGCAGTCGAACTGAGAGCTTCCGTGGGGGAGGGTGTGAGCGAAAGAGCTCGACCTCGACTTGCCCATCCATGGATTGCCTCCCCGTTCAGGGATCACGTTGTTGTTCCTCGCGAGCAGCCATCGCTTGTTCATCTTTTTTTCGAATCGGGATATTCATCCACTTCTCCATACGTCATCGCGTGGATCTCTCGATTTCTAATCGATCGACTGCGAGAAGCGATTTTTGTCGACAAATTCGCGGGCTCGCGCCTTCGTTCGCAGCATGCTTGAGCAGTCTTGGCCACGAAACGGAGCCCCAGGCAGGCGAAATATTGGAGTCTGAGATTGAACGCGAAGAAAACACTGAAGTCTCATCTTGAGTCAATGCCGCGTCGTTCGGTCCGAGGATGACGTTGGAAGAGCTTCGATTCGAGGGAACATGCTCAGTTGATCTGGCATTGACAATTCACACGTCAAGGTGACGCCAGACCTCCTCGAAAGAAACGCAAGTCTGAAACCGTGGTCGGTACCCGGAAGCGACATGTGGATACTTCCAATGCTTCGAGTTGCCTATCGCTCGCAGCGCTAGCGCTGTTACGATAATTATAGGCGAACGAAACGCCATTACGTTCTCGGGGCTTTCGAGCGGCCCTCTCGGGAGGCTCTGGAGATCCGCAGGGAGAGCATCGGATCGGCCTCGCGGAAAGTAAAACAAGAGGGTAGCCCTCAGATATTCACAAGGAATCAGAAAACTTTTCTCGGCGGCAGGAGGAACTCTCTCCCTGAGTTAGTTCCCACACGACTCCCGACATGCCGTCCTCCGCAGCGAATGCTTCGCCACCGCCGTAATTTGAGCATAGCGATTCCTTCCGCAATCCGGGACGCTCGCCGAGACATGCTCCGAAGAGCAGTCCTCCTATTTCGGAACGCCCTCCCCAGAAAGTGATTTAATCACCAATATTGAATTCCTGACTTCCAGAGGATCTTACGGCACCTCGGTGAGCTCTAGTGACAGTATTCGGGGAGCAGTCGGGAAGAAGGTGTCGAAAATAGCTCCCCAAGTTCGGCAGCGATCGCATGTCATCCTCTTCGCTAGAGAGAAAAAAATCTTCGTACCGGTGCCTTTTGAAAGGCTCCGAAGCCGAACAACATTCCCTCTCCTCCTCGAGTCGGAGCTATTGCTCGTCTGCCCTTGCTGTGTTCAGGAGTGAGAGGCGTCTTAGTCTTCGTGCGAATAGAAGACGGGGTCCCAGCCCCTCGGGGGACACAAAATAGAGACAAAGCGAGAAAGGAACAAAAACAAGCAGCAGCAGCATTACTCGAGAAGCATTCGTGGGCTGCGAACCATTTTTCAAAGGAGATACAGGCTCTGCCGAAGGCGTGGCTCCAACGAAGAAAGCGTCGTGAGACGACGACAACAACATCAGCCAAGAAAAAATCTCCGGCGACGTCGACTTAATCCTTTGAACTAAGTTTGCGCGAGGTAGTATCGAAGCCCTGGAGCAAAATAATCCCTCTCCCCTCGGCGCTCGCGGTGTTACCCAGTAAGGATTCACTAAGTGAACGAACGAGAGCTTTCTGAACGATGCTCCGAGCTTTGTTTACTGCTTTCTCCATCCCTCATGGGGAGAACAGGCGCGTCAGCTCATCGCATAGGTACCGGTTCCTTATCCACAATCGTAGCGCAACAGTCGTCGATTGTTAGCGGAAGGGCTGAAATATCAACATCGAGCCGCTCGACGTCACTCGCAGACTCCACCTGACCCACGCATAGTGCCTTGCGCGTGTCAGTGTCGACCGCGACGCCGGCTTTCCAGCTATGTCGGGGAGCAATGTCGACCCCGACAGAGCGGTAGCCGATCGTCTCGAAAAATTCAACATATTCATCTTCATTAATATCCGCTTCATGAGCCATTCCGGCTGATGAGGCTCGACGCGAATCAAGCCAAACTCCGACAGCTCCCGATGGAGTATTCCGGCCCTCCAACCCTGATCGGGTCTGGATTAAATCACCCGGATGACTCGGCGAGACTCTGCTTTTCCTCAATGAGAGCTCGGCTGCCGCCGCTCACCTTTTGAACCTTTCGTTAAGGCATGGAGTCAAAGCTCGTCATGGCTGTTCTCCACGAATCGAAACCCGTGCCTTCCATGTTAACCAAGATCACCCTGCTCACTACGAGTGAACGCCGTTGGTTGATCGTGTTGCGTTACTGCGCCCCCATGCGCAGGTCGACACCTTCTGTTCCTCTCGCTCACAGGAGCTCCTTAGAGCCTGAAGAGCCCCACGAAAAATTATCCAGCACTTCATCAAGCATTTCCCTTCGATTTTTCCTGCTCCTGTCCCCCTCCCCACGCCATCGGGGAACGACAAGTCGCCAGGCGTCTCTGTCTGATCGTGGACTGCTGTCATGTTGGGACCAAGTTGAACGACATGTCCTCTAGGCTTCAGATTCCCGATTAGTAAACCGGACGGGAGACGGGATCGTCGAGTTGTCATCAGAGCCGGAAAAAAAATGCTCAACGAGGGTCTAATTTCCTCACTCTCCAGCTTCTTTCAGATCCGAGAGCTCCCCGAGATGAATTCTCGAGGAGGATGGCGCGGAAAAACGAACACGAAGAGCTCCGGTCTTGTAATCTTTGGTGGACCTCTCGAGAGGGAGCACAAAAGTTGGTATCCCTATCTGATATGGTATAAAGATCGGCATCGCGGATTTCCAGAATCCGGAATGAGGAAGTCAGACCGCAATCTATCGCTAGCCCTGCAGAATATCCGGAGCAATGTGTAAAAAAATTACTCACTTTTGCGCGACGCTATCGGGGTGGATTTGCTTAATGTAGAAGTGCACATCACCGTCCTCTCCGTTCACTATGCCGACAGTTATTCCGAGGTCTCCATCCGCAGCTTTCATCAGATCTACCGCCAGGAAACGCTCCCCGAAGCCAGAGCCGCTGCCCTCATCGCCGCCCTTAAGAGTAACAAGTTGAGGACTTGTAATTTCAGCCACTTCTATTCACTCGTCGTCTGCTTTGCGCTTCATCAGGATGATGACGAGTATTGAAGTTCTGGGAACTCAATCAGCAATTCAATCCCAGTCGAAGACTCGGAGTTGAACGCTTGGAATTTGAGGGAGGGGGTCTCACCTGATGCGAAACGGCTCCTGACGCGGGAACAGCATTGGAGGCAGCTGCCTGACTCGTTGTGGGATTGGTGTCATCGTCACATCGGTACTCTAAAGTACCATCGCGAAGAATGTCGAAATCACGCGGAAGAATAGAGGGGTGCTTATGCACCAGCACCTTCAAATCATCCAGCGAATTCTGCGGGAAAAAATCTTATCAGCCTGATTCGATCGCGAAGTAGAGAATCCTATTGCTCGCGAATGAGGGGCGAGAATTCCAGCGAGTAATCATCTCGGAATTCTTAAGACGGGACCATGCAAATCTGATACGGAGGGGCGAGAATAGCGCATGGGACATGGGGAACTCACTTTAATTTGCAGGACCGTACGCAATAGAGGATCTTCGAGGACGGTGAGGAGTAACTCAATATCTTTCTGGGCCGGATGGCCCCGGGCCAGTTGCCGCGACAGCTTCTTGAGGCATTCCGACGAGTCTGCAGTGTCTGTGGATACCGACAATGAGTGCAGTTTTAGTCGCAAGCCCTACTCTTTTCGCTGTGTTCATACTCCTTCACTGAGTAAGGATTCATTGATAGAAAGGCGGTCGCGGGCAGGAGCAAACTTCTTGATAGCGCAAGGAGACGAGTTTCAGAGGTCTTACCAGCCGCGATTTGCCTTCCAGAATTTACGAAATCGTGACCGATCCTATATGTGAAGCTACTTTGATGATCTCGAAGAACAACTATGGAATGTATTTTCCGAAAAGGCAATTTCATTCCGCGAACGTCTCTACACTGCGGCCATTCGGGAGTCAACACTGAGGAATGCTGGATGACGTCTCCCTTGCGAGACCATTCGTACCTGTCACGCCGTCAACACCGAATGTTCTAATCGCGAGTCGGTATGTTCGAGCCCGGCTGACTGAGAATTCCCAACTCTAATGGTTCAGATCAGAATGAACCCTTAATGAAGGGATGTTCGAGAAGTTTCGATGAGGGCGACCTAGCCTGAACGATAAGAATAGAAACGTCCTTACCGTTTAAAAGCGGGAGCATCATCTTAAATCTGGAAGCACAAAAAATGAGCACTTGAGTCGATTCGAGCGAGATGGTCGAGGTACCGACTCGCTCTCCCTATCAGAGATCGAGTCTGATAGTGTATTCTGAATCCCTGAGTCGGCCGAGGGAACCATCAAATCTCTCCCATTCTAACATCTAACAGAGACGGATTTGGAGCCGACTATTGAGGAGGGATTGTTTCGCTGCCTGCGGACTCAAAGCGAGTAACGTCAGTCCAGATGGCGAAATTCTCACCGAGTCTACTCGTGGGAGGGCTTTCGCCTCCCGTCTGGCGGAAATTCAGTGTTTACCTCAGTACGATCGAATCGGATTCATCATTCAACAAAGATGTCTTACTCACAGTGTGCTAAGCTATAGCTGAGTGACGGAGAGGTGAGAAACTACGGCCCGTGGTGCTTGGCTTCGGCCGGTGGAACTTTGTCCTCGACGAGGACATGGGCATGCGCAAGGTCAGGGCATGCCTTAGAACAGGGTCCGATGTCGACTGGACTACTGAGTTCGACCGCTAAGTCCGTTGACAGGTGCGAGCACTCCAACGAAGCACTCCGAGGAGAACCTCCTTGCGGGAATGGAGTTCAGTCAATGAATGGAGCGGTACTAGCCAGCTCGACGTCGGAATCTACCGGGAGACTCTGGAGCACCAGCGGCAGCGGCAGCGATGTCTGCTTGGAGAGTTCCGCGGGAGCCCGCCGTACGGATATCCGTTCTGCCCTCTCTCAACGAGGCGAGGAACGAGCTCTCGCTCGACTCTACCTAGGTAGCATCTTGGTATAGGGTTGGCAAATGTCGCATCCGCTCGGATAGGGGTAAAATGCATCCCCGTCACCTTGCGGCCTCCGCGACGGTCCCTGGATTAGAGATTGACGAAGAATGAAGCGAATACGCGTAACGCGTTTATTCATTACATTCTTATCAGGCGCTTCATCGGTATGAGCAATGCTCGCTGGAGTTGCTGGAGCGGCTTCGGGAATCGCAGCGCTCGTTTCTTCTACAGAGGGGACTCGATTGCTGCGGATTCCTATGTACAACATAGTGGTGAGTGACCACAAGGACCACTTCTCAATGCGGAGAGAGCTTCGGAAAGTCCATCCGAGGATTGGAACTCAAGCTCTGAACTCAAGCCGGATATTTGCGACCCGTAAAAATCGGTTTTGCCTCACCGGACAGTGTGTGTATGAATGGGAACAGAGGTGAAACGGAGCGAAGAGAATACGAATCGGAGCACCCGGCCGCGGACCGTTAGACGCGCGATTCGCCGTCGTCAACTGATTCCGCTATTATACAGAGCAATCTCGATGAAAACGAAGCATGGCGCTTGCGAGAACCATTTCAGATGCCCAGGATTTAGACATCGATGGGGCTCCAAATAAACCACTCTTTCCCCTAGCTCCATCAAGCTCTGGAGAATTCATCGTCTGAAGCTCACGCCCGAAAGACCACCGCCGTTGATCATTTGTAAGATGAAGGGTTGATGATGGGGTTTCAGCGCGGGTTCAGCCAATAGTTCTGAACAAAAATTCCTAATTTAACGAAACACCATTCAAGAAACTTATCAGCTCCTACATGATTCCCCGAGGGACTACTTCCGGTCGTCGATAAACGTTATCGGTGACAATCGGTAGCTCCGTTGATTCACCTTTTTTTGTGAGCATGAAATTCCGATATGCACCAGTCTGAGCTTGGAAGACGCCGCCACCGAGACCCGGATCGCGACATCGGATATCTTCCATCATATCGAGTGTCTCTCGGCCCGCCTCTGATGTCTGCTTAAGGAGAAGTCAAACAACCCTGTGATCGCACACGCGACTAGCAACCGGTCTGTCTTCGTTTATTTACTCATGATCTCGGTGCATCAGCGTGTCCCCCCAGTATTCTCCATGTGAAGACACGCGGAAGCTCACTCGGACCACTCAGGATTTAAACGTAGGAAGCAAATGACGAGAACATCGTGCTCCAAGATCAGTTTGTATTTACATATAAGGAGATTAGGTGAGTCCAACGAAGCACGACATGAATGATTCGATCTGGTCCTCCACTCCACGCCGGAAAATCCGGCCCGGAATCCCTTTGCCTTCGATCGTTGGATGGGAAGTGCGCATTCCAGTATTTGATGACGAGCTGCGCGAGATCCTACAGCGAACGCCGCACCTCGTGGGTTCGGAATGTTATTGTCTTCTACCCGATCAATTCTTTCTGCCTGGCGTGGCTTTTCTCATGCCGGTGAAGAGAGGTTTTCTGCGAGAAACACCGCTCGCACTCAGTGCAGACGTAAGGTTTGGATCCGGTATGTACTCTCTTGTGAATGGTGAAAGAGCTGGACGTGCTGAAACCTTTTCCACAATCATCACACTTGAAGGGTTTTATTCCCGTGTGTATCGTCTTATGAGCAGCGAGAGAACCCGTCTGTGAGAAGCCCTTCCCACACGCTTCGCAAACGTAAGGTTTCTCGCCGGTATGACAACGACGGTGTTCATTGAGGTTGGATTTGTTCTTGAAGGTCGCGGGACATTCCTGACAGGCGAAGGGTGATTCTCCCGAATGCACCCGCAAATGCGTGGAGTAATTGCCTTTCTGAGAGAAGCTGGCAGAGCAGATAGGACACTTGTATGGCTTCTCTCCACTATGGACACGGAGATGTACGGTCAATTCCGCCAGGGTGACGAACTTCATCGCGCAGACAAAACACGGGAATCCCTTCATGCCGTCGTGTCGACATAGGTGGTCTTGCAAGCTCTTCCTGCTCGCGAAAACTCGGTCGCACTTAGCACGAGGACATTTCATGGTATTCGAGCCCATCTCCTACTGTCCAGGCCAGATTCCCGATGGAGACTGTCGATCAGCTTCTCGGAGTCATTCTTCTGGGAGGATCAGCAGGAAAATCGCGCCGGGGGATGGGTTCGCTCATTGAGGTAGGTGAGGCTTCTGTTTCCTCGAGTGCTTCTCTCGGTGGACTCGTCGCTACGCCTCCCGTTCCGATGAGAGAAGGCCTCTAGGCGGGGATTGATCCCGACGAGCCTTAAGTAGAATCTCGTCTGCCTCCCGGCCTCGATGCATCAGCCATCTGCAAACAGATCATGGATGAGGAGTTCGGGTCTACTTTTTAGTCGTCGAAGTGAGCACCGGGCCTTTAACGCAACGATCCGCGGATTCCCGATTCACTTCTTCCCGCTGTTCATTTTCCGCATTCTTCGAGGGTGAGGACAATAGAAAGCCATTCAGCGGTCCGCTACTGCGCTCTTCGCGGTAAGTCTGCCGCATATGATTCTTCCTCCTCTAAATGAGGAGCCGTACCGGATAGGATGGAACCGATCTGATCATGCATCCTGAATGATTCATATGAACACTGATCTAGTAAAAATGAATTCTCACCCGTTGTCAGGTTTGGTTCCGTATCTTCGACGCGAATCCTTCGTGGTCCCGGTTAAAGCGCTCAATCCAAGTCGTCGTTCCTTTGGTTTAACGTACGGCTACTTCTCTAAGCGTTCCCACAAACGGTGCGGAGGGGGTTCTTGAGTCTCGAGTCGCTCTCGGAGAGTGCAAGTTGAGGCAGTTTCGTTTTCACGCAGCGACGCTCAGAGGGGTGAGAAGTTACACGGAGGGCAAAGGAGTCCTCTCGAACAGTGTATCTAGAAAATAATTCCGAGCAGCCGTGCGAATACTGCTCTCGCCTTGTTCAGAACATGAGCGTCCGGAGCGCGCCAAAATTCGAAACCTCACGGCGAGTCCTGCCTCAGCATCGGAAACCTGCTGATGCCTTCCGGCTGGCATCTCTCCTCCAGAAGAGGCGACCGTTTTGGCAGATGGCACTGTAGTCAGCTCCGCACTGCGCTTAGCCCTTCAGGAAATTATCGGACTTCTATCTAATGAGCACAGGGCTCTTGGGAGGGAATGCTCCGTGAATTCCCGGAACGAGAGATCCGAAAATTATTATCGGACTTCTATCTACAGGGTACTGTCTCACAGGCCGCAATCGCAGGAGCCAGAGTCGCAGAAACGAGAAATCGCAAAAGCCAGAATAGCAGAAGCCAGGATTCTCAGAAGCCAGAAATCTCTGAGGCCGGAAGGCTGGAACATTGTTTCAAGGTTTCTCGGTATTTTGCCGCCTCGACGCAAAGCCCTGCTTGACTTGCGGGCGGGACCCCCATGTATTAATCTTCGATCAACCTTCAAGCTAAGTGGAAGGAAGCATCACGATGTCACGATGGTTTCGTTCCACGGATGCATTGCATTCCGACATTCAGACCCCGCTCACAAAGGGGAACTTCTATCGGTGGAGTCATATCTTACAATTTCTAGTTCTTAAAACTGGAAGCGACGCTGAAAACGTATTCCTCCAGAGTCTTCGCTCCGGTCTCAAACTCATTCGTCAGGCGGATCAAACGATCGTTCAAGATCCGGTATTAGCGGACAGTTTCGGAGGCGGCTCTCTCGCGCGAAGCAAAAGCCGGTCTGCTCTCCCTTTATCTGCTTCTTTCTTCAATGTGTGGATGAGCTCAAACAAATTCACATGCTCCTTCCGGACTGACCTATTCAAGGCGCTGCACAAGGGGCCAAATCGGATTTCAGGTGGACATGAGTGCTCCATGTAATTTTTCAGATTTTTGAGGTTTCGGGAGTCTTAAATGGAGCGGAGGAAGATTGCAGAACGCACTTCCAACACCAAAGGGAGGGGGATGAGCTCACAATATGAGAAAAAAACATGTTATGAATAATCGTGGCAGAAGTTCACTTTTTGTTCCACTCGGATTCCTTCAACTCCGTAAAACTCATTTATCGACAGCAGAATAATCGCTCTAGACAGCGGAAGCTGTCTCAGAGGCAGGCATCCATGCCGTTCGTACGGCTGTACGGTGACCGTACCGTCACGAGCCGTACATATGTACGGACCAACCTCGAACGGAAAAATGTACGGAACTTTCTCAGTCCGGAAGGCGGGTCGTCTCATTGAGATGGACAAAGCTCCACGACAAGGATTGGTGCCTATCTTCATGGACCGTTTCGAGAGCTTACCGGGAGTCTCGGTGAAGGGCTCGATGATTTGGAACCGACCGGGACGAATCTCAAATCCCGATACTCCAGCGAGCAGCGAGCCATGTGCTGCTAGCAAATACTCCCAGAGATGAGGATCTACAAATGATGATTTGGGCAAGCACATCCTTCCCGAAGATTATTTTGTGAAGAGCAAGCCTTGCCTTTGCGAGGAAGACCAAGCCAAGGCAACACTGAGATAACCATCTGACGGCGCCGTCTAGGCTTGCTCCAAGGTGAGAACAACAATTATAAACAAAAATCAGATGTACATGAGCGGGCGCGGGCGAGCGGCGGGGGAGAACTTGAAACTCACGTTAGACCGGATGTCACAGCGCAACCATAGAGCTCGAAGTACACCGGCCCCAAGCCCCAGCGCACGTGATTGGATTGACTCTTGGTGAACACGGGGCAGAGGTGAGGAAAAAAACAGGCGGAGGTCTTGCGACTTGCTTCGCTTGCCTTAACATGTTGATAAATCGACATACGTTGTCATTCGTCATTGTCGTCATCCATCATTCATATAGCTCCAGAAACATAGACAACTTCTTATCAAGACTACATACCGTACATCTCGAATAATATAAGCCCTGTTAAATATAGTAGCCCCCCTCCCCGCTCGGGAGCGGGGCGTCGGGGAGGCACTCGAAAAAATAGAAGCCCGGGCTTGTGATGATAGAAGATTTACGGTGTTTTGGTATACCTATATTCATTGTAATACAAATGCTTCAGCAGCTCATAAGATCAATTTCAATTTGCGGAATCCACTGATTTGAAATGTCGTGAATCCGTGCCACGGAAACTCTGGCCCGGTGATCCGCGCAGCCGCGGCACCGCGTCGGCGCGGGCCGTCCGTTCCGAACTTGTTTACATTCGTTCGACTAACGGATTTTTTCGCACTAACGGATCGCGTCCGAGGTCCGAGCTGAACATTGGACATCTAATCCGGCCTTGAGTTTTCCGAGAATATCGGGTTTCTTTGAGGATATTGTGCGAAAGTTCTGTCGCATAGATCCCCTCATGGATAATTTCGTCGAACCTCCAGTAAACTATCGCGAATCGGAGCGAACTCCGTCTTCGCCCTCCGAATCCGAATCAAGGTCAGTGATAGTGATGGAACGCGAAGATCAAATCCGTGCCCGAGGAAAAACCGTTCCATCAAAGTAAGTTGCGTTCGCCTTTGTAAGACGCCCGCCACTGCGATTATCATGAATTTATGACGATCCTCTTGGTATTGGTAAGGCCTAGCGACCCTCAACCTCAAACCTCAACCCTCATCCCTCATTCCGGCGCGCAGGTGGCCCGCCCAATCTGGGATGCTGGAAGACGATCTAGAAGAAGGAGAGAGTCGCCGATCGCGTGGTGAGTTACTCGAAGCTCGCAGCTCGTAGTCCCGCCCGTAAGCCTGCAGACTTGCAGACTGATCATTCAGCAAGGAGGTTCCCGAGCATTCCGCCTGGTAGCTATTGATTTGAAATTTAAGCCCGTTGTCCGGATCCAAGTCCCAGACGCGAATCGGAGCAGGAAAGAGATTCAGAATCCGATGGATACCTCCTCTCTAACCGTGAGTCCCTGAGGGCGACAGATAATCCGCTGATAATACTTTCTTATCGGGTAAACATCCGCGTTCACTTATCACCTCTTCGACTATGTTACCTTCCAGTATCTTAAGATTCGGAGTTAGATCCGGACGAGGGTCGATTCAGGAATGGTGAGTCTCTCTGCCGCGCTTCTCCATTGACCGCCCTTCTCGATAGAATCATACATATTGAAGGCTTCATTTCAGGCTCAGTTGGACTCCTCAGCGACTCCACATTGCATGACTCTGCACACGAGGCCGATGGCAGTCGATCTCCCGGCAAGTTTCACAATTTAGACATGGAACTCGCGAGAGGATTAGATACGCGATTCTCATCAGCTTGGATCTTTACAGCATTTGAAGTGTGCTCTCTGGAGGTCACTCAAAGCCCGAATCTTGTCAGAATGAAGGTTTGCAAGAAGACTAGAAACGGTGAGTCCCCAGATTCGGATAGCAGCCAGGGTTCGGATAATGGGTCCGAAATGTCACCTGGATACATTTATACTGTTATACACTATGTTCCGCTCATTGGGAATACCTGATAATGGGACCAAACGCTTTATCGGACCAAAATGCGACTCCCCGTTTCCTATGCAGCGGGAATCGGTCCGGATTATCCGACCAATAGTCCGCTCCTTCGAGTCTTCCTGATTCCTTGCATAATTTTCAAAAGGGAACAGGTTTCACTCAGAGAATCTCCCGATCGTCGCTGACGGCGCGGCGTCTACTCTTCGGCCGAGCAGCGCGACGCGTCCCACCATTACATGCACGATGGCACACTGTGCGAAAGCGGGCTGTACAATCGTTGCGCTGCTCGAGGATCGGGAAGAGTGGAAACCGTTATATATGTACTGGATGGTGTTCTCCGAGATATACATAAGATGGCCGCCCCTTAGAACTTTAGACTCTGGAGCTTTCGAACAATTGATTCATTTAGGGAAATGACGGTATATCGAATCAAGCCTTCGAATCTTCCCCGAGTTCCGGCTTTGGGGTTCCTAGCAGTGGCGGATCCGAGGGGGGGGGCAGGGGGCCAAGCACCCCCCCCAAGAATCTTCGATCCCTATACGAAAGCATGGGCCGCGAGGTGGCGCGTCATCATTTTCGGCTCTTTCCCTCCTGAAAATATGAGTTGGCCCCCCCTCAAGAAAAAAGCTGGATCCGCCCCTGGTTCCTAGACGCGTGACTCATATATATTCAATTGCCACGGGAGTGCAGTTGGCAGAGAGAGACCTTGTCCGACCTTCTGACAACGAGCTGAATTGACAATGATAGGGGTTTCATGGAACGAATAATCCTTATCTGCAGCGGGTCCGGGCCATGAGTATGAAGCTGAAGATCGGTCTGAAGATGAGGGAGGATCCGGCCAAAATCGGCAAGAG